TATTGAGCAGAATTTCTTCAGCTTCCTTATGCTATCTTCGTTCAACGATGAAGGTTGATTAGATAGTGGGCAGTGGGTGAGAGAGAAGCCATGAGCTAGTTGAAATCTCGATTTCTACAGTTTTCTTGATTTACCCTAACAAAATGACTGGATACAGTATTAGGAGACACACATCTGAATTAGCGCAGTGCAAGCAGACTATCTTTCCGCAAAACATTTGACAGCTCACTTATTTGAGTAAGAGCAACTTCGGTTTCTTTCTCTTCCATTTTTCAGCACTGAGTGCAAACGATGACTGTTAGAGATTTTGTCTTTTTGCTTATTTCTTCCTCAGTTCTTTACTTTCAGCATTTAATTTATGATAGGGCAACTTTTTCTGATGTATGCATTCCAAGAAAACGAGAGTCGAATCATCTAAACCCCATTCTCTCAAAACATTTTCCATTGACCAAGTGTTTGGCCAATTTGAATAGTGTCTTGTTAACTGGCAATCAAACCATCATTCTACTTCAGATATACACACATAAACAACGAGGCATCAACATGAAAAAGCTGGCGAAATCGCTAACAAATGGTCGGAAATATGATGACGATAAGTCAAGCCAAAATGATATCTTGGGTATCTGCTACTTGTGAGAAATGTACAAGAGGGGATTAGAAAACATACAATAGTGTTAAATGTGCTATCCTACGTACAAGGAATGAGCGGATAGTAAGACAACACACGCATTGAGTGTAGGTGATGGAAAATGCATGAGTAATGATGACTAAGTATATATAGACGTCCGCTTTCTGGCTTCATCATTCCTTCTGCAGCTGCAATCGTTTTTGTCTGTGGACCAAGGCGTTTTTGTCGAAAAGAATGTCGCATCTGGCATCGTGGATTCATTCCTTGGCATTCCGCAAATAGCTTTTTTATTTACCAAGCATTCAAAACATTGTTTGATTGCAATGCGATCCGCGAAACGAACGTCTCAGCTGGTATCAAGCAATGATACCACTGAGAAAGCTAACAGCTCTCAGACTTAGAGTTATATTACCGCAAGGCAAGCCGCAGAGGATAACTTGTAACCTTAATGGGAAGTGAGAATATGTTAAATCATAATTCGAAAGAAGTCGAAATGTGTCTACCCTTCATGAAAAGCATGTAAGATAGTACCACATTTGTCTAATCTACCGTTATACAAGGTTGAGGGAAAGTCTTTGAAAACGGTATTTTTTAAGTAATGATGAAGCTAGGAAAGCACTATATGAGATTAATAGGTATTGTTTACCTAACTGTCTGCTACACAAAACTGGCTTAACAATTCAAAAATTCTTCCTCTGACGCGTACAAAAATTTGTGGAAAAGCCGAACATACAAGGACATCAAAAATTGTTCAAGGACTTTCCCCCAACCCTATAAATGTTATGAGACATTCTCGAATACAGTTCGTAAGTTCATTCGGATGTTTGATAATAACTTTTGATTCAGCTGGATTGGCGGCTAAAAAGCGACGCCTTGTGACCTAATCAAGTCCGCTTGTGTCCGCGACGTAGCCTGCATCTCTCTCGCGCGCGTAATCTCTGATCATCCTCTAGCCTTAACTGAGTCATGAAGCTGCGCCTGCCAGCCGCCAGTCCATTTGAATCAGAGGATACTTGGGCAAAGCGAATCCCCATTTTTGAAAGTTTGTCCTCACATCTTGGAGGTTCTAAGACGAGTGTTGTATAAGGCTTATTGGACTTGAGAGTGCGAAAAGCTAATTCCATATTTACTTATTTGTTTATTTATTTATATAATTTCTTTATCTGCCGCGGGTTTCTGAGCACAGAGTTTGGAAGGTTTTTATGGGCAAAAAATTCAGTGGACTAGTGTAGGATCAGTAGTTGACTTTTCCTACCGTCCCGAAGTGGCAGGCTCATGTTTAAGTCAAGATTATTCCTTGCACGGAGTAACCCAAAAATCATTAGAGGCGTAGAAAAAAATGTTACGAAATTTTATCCAAGCTGCACATGCAAATCTTTGCTCATAAAAACCTTCTTAACTCCTCACCCGGAAGTCGTAGCAGATAAGATATTCGAATTTGGAATCAGCGTCTCATATCCTTCAAGTCAGTATCCATCTCATAAGAACAGCCCACTCCGATTAACCTTCCTTACCTTGCAAGTTCTCCTTGCTTGAGATAGGTTTTGCACATCTTCTGGAGCATCAAAAGCTCCACAAGATAGCTTTCAAACGCCTGTATAAGGTTTCTTCCACACGAAGTTCGAAGCCAAACGTTTGAATGCTCAAAACCAGAGTACCTTGTATTTCGGTATAGAAAAATGTGTAGACTTTTGACTTGCACAGGAATGTATTCTCCAGATAGGGCGTTCATATACAATGTTTATTTCTTTATTGTACAAGGCTAGAAGTCAAGAAAACGGTAATTTTTATGTTTTTGCCAGGGCAATGCTGGGTATGTAGTCGTATTTTTCCGTAGGTTTTATAGTATGAAACTTTCAAAGTATTATATCTAGCTTCTTTTATTTTTCGTGAGCAATGTTTTTAAGAAATATCAACTTTGGCACAAACAAAGCGGCATATTCATATTTTTGGTCTAGTTTCTCTCCACTGTATTTGGATTCGTAAGGAAGGAAACTATAACATTCAATTGCCCGATATGTCTGTTCCACCTCCGTTTCTTCTCGTGTTTTCAGAGTCTTCTTTACGAGCACTTCATAGGGCATGTCGTTATTACCTTGAAAATTGAGTTCAAAGAGGGATTGTGTGTAGAATGAGGCCACCAAATGCTAACAAGGGAATGGTGAGAAGTCGAAGCGGCCAGTCCATACAAGCTGCATCATTAGATGCAGCATAAAACGCTGACTCTAAATCTGTCTTCCTTATCTGCAGAGCGCTTTTGTGGACGAAATTATTAGGTTGGTGCAAAAGGAATGGCCGATTTGCGAATTCTCAATTTGACGTGCTATAACTTTCTAAAGAATCCACATTTCCGAATGCGGTAAAGACACTCAGAAGCAGCAAATTTTTCGCGATACAGCGCATACTTATTTATACTCAAACCATAAAAGGGAAGAGAAATACGGACTAAAAGACAAAGAAGGTTCTTCTGCTAGAACCTTCTTTTTGACAATTCATAACTTCCTTCAATGGTTTTTAGTATATATGATAAGTGGCCTATCTTGTAGCCACAAGCCAGTAGTACAAAATGCAATAAAAAGAATTCGGACAAAAAAGTTTGCGAAAAAGAGAAAAATTGAAATTTAAAATTTCTCAGTTTTTTCAACATTTTTTCGCTGTGCCTCAAAGTCCGGAATATAGAATTTTCTGATTTTTTACGTACTGAACAGCTGGATGTTTTTGCAAAAACTGTTAATAAGTGTCCTAGCCCTACGCTTACAGAATTGAGCAAAGCTTCGGCGACTGACTTCCTCAGAAGAAAATTATGGGTCATAAAATAACCGCAACAGCTACTCATGTTTGGGCGCCGATATCTCAGTCTGGATAACTTCAAAGAATGCAGTTAAGTACATATAATGTACAGAATTTCTATTACATACAAGAGCTAAATTTTCGAAGAAATCCCATTGATACGCGCTTAAATTCTGGCCGGAAAAGTGAATGCAATGAAATTCTGAATTTGGATGCGGTTATTTGAAGCTCAGTAACTTTACAAAAAATGATGATGAGAACCCGTTTTAAGCAACGTTAGTTAGAGCATGAAAACAGCATCGCGATGGTATATTACATCTATTGTAAAGAAGCAGAATTGATGGGGAAAAGTTGCCCTGAAAAAAGGCTTTGAAAATCGGCCATTTCTTTTGCACCAACCTAATACAAGCCTTTGAAGGCCATTATCTTGCTAAGAAACTGTGCGTGTTGAGTGCGAACTTGGCCGTACAAAGCCATTCTCGGCTCAGTGTTCAACCAAAACATACAAGTAGATCACTTTATATGACCCATATCTAGAGGTGAGCTGAAAGAGCAATAATGCGTTTAATTTCGCAATTTTTGTATACTTTTTTTCGCAGTAAAGCTGCTCATAACTTCGCCTACAAAGGCGCTCTGCGGAAATGGAAGACAGATTTGAAATCAACATTCTATGCTGCATAGAATGGTATTCAGCTTGTATGGGTTGACCACTTCGGCTTCTGACCATTCCCTTGTAAGTACCGATGTGTATGGATGAGAAAGACAAAGAAAAAACTCAATGCGCTAATTCTTTCCAGAAATCAGAGCCAAGAAGTTTTCACGTTCCAGTACCCAACATTCAGATGTACCACAGACCGCAAAGCTTATTTTTCTTTTGTCAAATCTTATATTAGAAGCAGTTATTGAGATAGATCATTTGGTCCTGAGTAGAAGTTCACCAGCACTGCTCTAGAAATAGAGGCAGGAGTACCATAATATCGCAAACTCATTTTGCCTCTCCGCAAACTCGTACGTTTTTATACATTTGACGCACTACTATGAAGCCCTACAAGTTTCATACCGAGGCAGGTGTAGACGTAAAACCTGATGTGTATTCTGCGAAAGTGCGTACTGTACGCAATCCGTATGAGCTGACTCGCGGTTGCGGAGCCAAATTATGGCATTAGTCAATCTCCCAGAACTGTGGGACGGAGACTCCACAGCCTCCACCTTTTGATTCATAGCTTGCATTCATTTTTCATCTTGTACAGCTTGCACCACAGACCATGCCCACTTGCTGGGCGTAACTTCGATCCCGCCCATCCAGCGAATCGTCCTTGACGAGTTTCAACTTGGTAAGCTCGAGGATTGTTCCTGACAGGATTAGAGGAGTAGGACACTCGCCCACGCTTCAAAGAGCTTCGAAAAAAGGGTTTGCAGGATTTCAAGCTTTTGGACTTCCCCTGGAGTCTGGGGTTCGAACCAGAAATGGCTAGAAGCTGAAAATCCAGGATCTATTTCAACAATGTCTTTCAAACCTACAAACTATCCCATCCCAGTCTCAAAGCGTGTAGCGAACTGCAGTGACAGTTTAAGTGAGCCAATAATAACAATTTATTCAGATTAAAACGAAACTGTATATACCTGGAAACCCAATGCAAAAATCACCCGTGACGGGGCATAATGTAGTATACGATTCGTGCAGACAAAAGAAAAAACATTCTTAAAATACAGCAGCATGCAATGACGAAAAAAAAGTGAATAACAAAAACATTACGGGGAGCAGATGAAGTGATTCCAGAGGTTACATAATGCATCCATATCGATGGGACCATCTAATTTCTATGATGTACATAGAGCAATTTTGTAGTAGAGTAACGGATAAACGGTATGAAAAAAACGACTAGTAGCACCAAGCAAAAAGAATGCAATGACTTCATGTTTTGTGAACGAACGTATTAGCACAGAAATATCACATTTTTGTAAAAAGAATGTAGAGAAAATGAACAGAAACGGAGTTTTTCGATGCAGTTTCGATGATTATTGCGTGAGCACAACTCCTCGATACGGACCTTGCATTTTCAGATACTGAAAATAGAATTTTGTAGAACATGTCAGGCATAAGAAGTGTAATGAATGTGTGAACTTTTGAAATGTAGGATTTTTGAAAAAAAAATGACATTAGTAAAAGGTACAAGTATATGAATGTGTTATCAGCATTTTCTGAAGTTTAGCGTATTTCACGGTCCAAACATGACTGAGAAACCTGAAGTTTTCAAACTATCGAGTTATTTATTTCCCAACTTCTCAAAATTCCCTTTATTTCTCGGCCACGTGGAACTTGAGCTGATATTTTCAAATTGCGTGGGAAAGTTAACTCCGATGCAGAAAATATTTTTCATTTATGCAAGGGCTGAAACAGAAAGTTATTACAGTCAAAACTTTTGAAATTTTTTTCTTTCTTCACAATTTAGCAGATTTACTTTCTCAGATTTTCCTTCTCGAACTCACACCGAAGTGAAAAAAAGGCTTTTGAATTCTAGTAAGATAAATGCGAAAAAGAAATAAGAAGTTAAACTTTTGAATACGTTTTTTATTTTGAATTGTATTTAAATAATCCAATTTCAAAGAGGAAAATATAGATTGAAAATTCACATATTGGCGCGAACGTGGACATTCAAAAATTCGAGTAGCACCATAATGAAATAAATAATAATAATAATTATTATTAGTAAATAGTAATAATAATAATAGTAAGTTAAAATAATGCTAATAAATAATAATAATAATAACAATAATAATAATAATAATAATAATAATAATAATAAATAATCAAGTAAGTAATAAATAAACATAATGATAAATAATAAATGGTAATTAATAAATAATGATAGATAATGAATAAATAAGTAAACAAATAATATATTTTGCAATTAAAAGTACTCCTCTATATAAGAAAGTGATACCTTTGTTGTTAATGATGTTAAGAAGGTGTTTTCTTCAAAGATTGAAGTGCAATTACGAAAATCCCATTTCAAAAAAGCTCAACATTTCCGGTTTCAGCTATAGTATATATATTTGATAAGAAGCCTTGCACATTGTTGGTTTGACGATTCTACCGCGATATTGTCTGCGTACGAGTTTTCGGTTCTGATTCCTTCCAGCCTAAGTTGTTTTCGTTAAAATTTATTTGAACACACCTGTATGACAAGGCTGGGTCCTCCAGCGGTAATTTCCGGTGGAATCTGACTTAGCGGGCAATTTTCAATTGACATGATTTCCAATGATGAACACAATGCAAGTTCAAAGGGTAGATTGTGCAGTGAAGGATTATCGTTGAGATACAGAGACTTCAAATTGTCCAGATGACCTGAAAGATAATCTGACAACTCCGAAAACCTCCCAGGGAAAAAGTAGGCTCACCAATCTCTTCAGGAATAGACGACAGCGAGTTCTCGCCAACTCGTAAATCTTGGAGACTTGCCAGATTTCCTATGGTTCGCGGTAGGCTGATGAGTTTATTCGACTGTATCCACAACTTCGTCAGTTGTAAAAGGAAACCTGAAGGAAGCTCAATGACGAACGAATTTACGGAAATTTGCAGAAATTACCAATTTCACTGGGGACAGTTTCAAGATCGTTTTCTTCCAGATCAAGTTCTCGCAATTTTTTGAGATTTCCAATCTGTGCTGGCATCTTCTTCAACTGATTATTTGACAAGACGAGAATCTCAAGATTTACCTAAAAGTAGCGCCCTAATTTCCATATAAATTGGAAAAACTATGAAATCTTACAAGTTTCTCAATATCTTCAGGCAAAACTTTTAGCTGATTTGTTGAGAGATTCAACTCCGTTATGGAGATCCAACTTCCCATATCTGAAACGATCCAGCTACAATTTATTGAAATTCGGAAAAAAAAGAAATTACCCAGCGGTAATGACAGCAACTCGTTTTCCTTCAAATTCAGCTTCGTGAGTCCCGTCGCACGTGAAAATATGCCAATAGGAATTTTATTGATTCGATTGTGCTCCATATTGATTGTCTATAGAAATCATAAATTAGTTTTTTGCCTTGATTGTAGAAATAAAATTATCGATTTATGTCAAACCACGACAAAGCCTTTAATTTTGCACAACTCGGAAATTTAACAATTTTTATAAAGATGAGCGGCTTTGTACCAATCTCATTTTAAACGGTGTTTTTTTTTTGTCTACAAAAACAATTAGATTCTTTACCCATATAGGTAAACTGTGGAAAGTTCCAGAAAGTACGAGCTTGATATATGCTATTCTAAATAAAGAATGTTGTTAAGTACCTACTGTTAGAAATGCTATTTCTGATTAGAATCAAGAAATGGGAAAAATTACTAACTAGTATAAATACACTAGGCTATTTAATACATCTTTAGAATTAGTTTAAAATACAAATTTGGTATTATATCAGCCATTCTAAGTGGCACATTCATATGCAAAGTCATAAAGGTTCCAAGTTCATTGATGTTCTACCGTATACCTACAAACTGACAGACTACGGTAGTGCGGGCTGTTGAAAGCCTCTGTACAAGGTATTTACATTTACATAGATGTACGTTCCAAAACTAGAACGATCTCAAAACAAAAGCATGCACAAAGGAGTAGAGGAAATCGCTAGTATGGGCCGGCTCCGAGGACAAGTGGTCCTTTAGGCATGCTGTTGAATGTTGTTTGAGGACCAGTTGTCCGCAGAACCGGCCCAAAGGGCGGAGTTCATTCCCCTGCTTATTAAGTAATTTTATGAACATACCACAGCAGCAACGAACTGCTGAGGACCTCCTTGTGGGAAACCAGCAAGTTCATTTCGAGACAGGTTGATGGTCCGTAGCTTTGGAAGACACGTCAACATTGCATCCTGTGAGAATGGAGTATAAACGCCTTTGTAATTAGTTTTAATTATAGTATATTTATTTTTTCCCATAAAAATACAAAATCCACACTTTATTTTGTATTTACGATCATCCCTGACTTGTTGCAGAGTATAGGGAGTCGATGGTAAAGTAGTGCTCTTGCGTCGTCGACAACAACTGCGCGTAAACAATGACAGCTTGCGCTTTGCGGCATTTCCCATGTAAGTTTCAAGCAAATCGAGGGCACTCACAAGCATGGCATTTGTTTCCGCGCAAATGTTGCCTTCACCGCAAATACATTATTTTTACCGTCGTTTTACTCGACGGAAGATTTTGTTGAAACCTACAGGTAGCTGTTGAAGATGATTTCCTTCGATTATGAATTCTTCCAACTGAACGCAGTTTTCTAACGATGATGGCAACGAATGTAATTTGTTGTACCTAAAATATTCTTTTGAAACAAGACAATGAAATATTTGAGTTTTCTTCGCACCTTATACCCAATCGAACAAGATTTTTCAATTGTCCCATCGATTCTGGCAAGTCGGTAAGATCGTTATGTTGTAAATCCAATTGCGTCAAACTTATACATTGCCCGATTTCTGGAAACGATATGTTCACAAGCAGTTTATATGCATACAACGGCATTTGGGACCTTAACAATAGGCACTTAGGGCCAAAAAGAGCCCATTAGACCCATTATTTCGTCCGTACATAGGAACATCCGTTGTGATACAAAATCTCATACAATTTTTTCAAACGTGTAAAAATTGGAAGGAGATGAGATATAAAGGAGAGAGAATCATCATTCTCTAATAAATTTGCTATTTTCGCAAAATTTGTATGATTTTCAGGAAATAAAATTTCTATTGTACGTGTAAAATAGCGATTACTGATCAAGGAAAAAATTCGATTGTTTTTTGAAACCCACCTTCAGGTACTTGCGATAAATGGTTGTAGCTAAGAAGGCACACGACTAATGAGTGAATTTTACCAATCGATGCAGGAAGACGGTGAATTTTATTTTCTCGAAGATCGATCATCTTCAGCCTAAAATAATCTCTGATTATGTGAGCTTGGATATCTATTTATATATGAGCTTAGATATCTACTTACAAATTCTGAAAAAATAAAGGGTCTAATAATCTTTTGTAAGCAAAATAGATCATTGCAAAAACTTTGAGAGACTAGGAAAAAGAGTGGTAGAGGAGTGGTAGATGATACTAAATAGTATGAATATTGAAAATGATGGACTTTGGAAATATTTGGATCCCAATAGATACTCGGTGTGACTTCACTTTAATTTCAGAATTTGCAAAACCGAGTTTTGAGATGAAAAGACCAAAATGAAAGCAGAAAATGACTTCCATAATTCATTTCTCTTTCTAAGGTAATGTTTGAGCAGTGACATCATCCTGCATTCTAATATATCACTTCGTTCTAATAGATGCCTGCAAAGACCAGAAAATTGACATCTTAGCTCTCTATTGCTAGTAAATTATTTCAAACAAAACATGGCTAAGATAGGTCCCTAGCATTTAAAAAGGAGTTTGAGAGTTCTATGACAAATCAAAAAACGATAGTCAGCTCACCTCGATAAATTTCCAATATCTTCATCGATGGATACAATCCTGTTATACCGTAACCACAGGGTTTCCAGTGACGTGATACGATATATCACAGCGGGAATCTAGAAGAATTCTTATTGAAGCGGGGAATGAAAAACGGAGAAAAACAAAAAAAAATTTAGTAAACCTACTTCTGTCAATTTATTGTGTCGAAGATCTAGGGTTTCTAGCTGGGTAAGCGAGGCGAGGGAGTCCGGTAAGGAGCAGAGAGCATTTTCGCTCAAACCCAATTTTCTTAAGGATACCTGGAGAAATAGAATTTTACCATTTTTATATTTTTTCCAAAATAACGAAGTAAGAATACTTACCAAATTACCCAGCTCATGTGGTAATTGTGTGAGCTTATTTTTATATAAAAATAGCTCTGTCAATTGTGTCAAATCCCTAATCGACGATGGTATTGATGTTATCTGGAAAGGTGCCAATTTTTTCACAGCTGAAATTGAAAGAGAAAAAATTAAGGACACTAACATCGTTTGAGCTGAGATCAAGGCGTAGATCATGATTGTCACGACATCTTTGAAATTCACGATGGAGATCCTGCAAAAGGAAAAAAATTAGGGGTAGTTCTGGAAATATTTTTCACCATCGATGAAATTTATATAGCTTTACAGCACAAACACAAACTGATAGCTTTCCTACATTTTTGCATTTACTTTTTAACCATTACTTTTTTTTAAAATTATTTTCCCAATTTGAGAATGAAAATCGTACAGGTTATTGTGTAATTTGAGATTGCGCGAATAAACCTAAAAATTGACAATTCTGAATACAACCTTAAGACATACATTTTTGCTTGTTTTCAAGAAAATTAATAATGGGATTACTTTTTTCATTTACTTCCGAATTTTGCAAAGAATATTTCACGTATAGCTTTTCACCCATTGCAGTAAGCTGCTATCGCCTTCTCTGGCTATTTCAGCTCTAGGGAATACAATGATGAATGTCGTCAAATGAGAATGCCAGAACATTCTTTCACAAAATGGAATTCGCAGAAAAACCAGGAAAATGATTGACAAGAGAGCTTTCATCAATTCAATTTGAGCAAGAGGAAGAATATAATAGGAAATATCAAGAAGAATCAGAATGCCTAAAAAATTCGATTACTCATTCATTAATTTAGCCAGCTCATACTATGCGCTCTGAAAAATGCTCCATAGCGGCAAAATTTCAAAAAAAAAGAATGAATATACTAGATCTCAGGAAAATGCATACATTTAGTTTATTTAAAGAAAAGAGCGTGCATAAAAACAAACATGAAATTTCTATCATGATCAAGGACCTTCTGGTGAAAAACCATATTGAAAAGTAAATTATAGCTAAAAGAGGACCAAAGGCAGCCTTCTTGGCTGCTATCTCGTGGTGATTTTTTTGGGGAAAGATAGATTGGAATATGCAAAAATTTTCTTCTTCAACCACCCCGACTTTAGAAATGTCCTTACAATTTTGTCTTTGCAAACAAGATGTTCATTGATGCATTTTATCAGACGAAGAAATGTTGCAAAATTAATTACACTTAATTCCGCAAGTACATCCGTTCTGTGATGAACTGCTTATCCTATGATGTTTGGTGTTTTCGCGACCGTGAACAAGCGATGTGAAAAAGCCGACAAATGGATGAAACGAGTTTTCGGCAAGTTACAAAGGTACTTTTCTTATAATAAAGTGCTCGAATGATAACATGAATAAAATATAACTTTTCTAAACATTTAATGTGCAAAAAAGCGAAGGCCGAAGTCAAACAACGCACATTTTATTTATCAATCATTGGAATTTATAGCTATTTCCACAAACCAAGGTTCTGTTCAAGAAATGAACTTTTGCACATTTGCACCCATCATTCAGCTGTCAAAGATAAGCAAAATGCAAAACCAGTACCAAAAGTGCACCACGATAGACGTTATAGGAAAATGTTTGTAGCCATTAATAAAGATAGGCCTAATATTCTTTTTACGCATTCCTCGCAACGATCGATGATCGAAAGGGTATCCTCAATTCAATTGTAACTATGTGAGTCTGCACACTATGCGCGGCAACCGACGACATCCTTTTAAGTAGCTCTGTGAAACCTTTTATAGAGGAGCATGTGGAAATGTGCACTATTACGTGATACATATCCCATTCAAATAAAAAAAGACATGGAAACAAGAAATACCAGGTTCTTCTCACAAGTCGTCAAGTAGCGCGCATGGTGTGCAGAACGCATATTCAGGTATGAATGAATCGACGATATATGCGAAAAAAACCTAACAAGACTTTTTATCTTTTCTCGAGTGATCACAAGAGTTATTAAGTCTGCTTTCTCTTCTTCTTTAACATAAAATGACACAAATTTGGGTACATCACATATTTTGAAGACCTGTAAAAAGTAACTTTGCTGAAATAAACGATTTTTCTACACTATCAGACTTCTTTCTTGAATTCATTTTTAGAGTCGGTTCAGACCTGAAAAAAGCAGAAAAAAAGCAAGCAACTTTTTGTAAACAAATAGAAAGATTAGCTGCGGAAATTCTCGACCTCTGCTAGTGTTTAACAATCTCTTTCGGGTAAGAAAAAATAGAAAAAAAGAAAGTTGACGTTACTGGTAATTTCTACGTAACAATATAGATTACATTAATGAAAATAATATCGAAAATAACCGTAAGAATGCAAAAAATTTGGATAATAAATCCCCCTTGTTTGACCCATCCCCTGGTGCAAACCACTTCTGCAATTTCCTCAGTGCAACAATTTCTGGCGTTAAAAGTCACCAAACGATTACGGAAATTGCGGAAAACGACGAGAAAGTGCACAAAAAACGCGGCGAAAAAAAGCGCCACGCTCTGACACATCCTGCCAAAGCAAATCAGAAAAGTAGTGCAATTACACAAAGCGACCATCATCCCATGGTGGATATACTTTTGATATAATTTCGAACGGAATTCTTCCGCTCAAAAATAGAAAATTGTAAATGACTACGTTCTGCTAATGTGTGCAATTACAGATTTTCAACATATTGGCGGTGGGCCAAGGCTCTTCTAAGTAAAAAAAAGTATGGTGTATTTCAGGTTTCAAATAACAATCACGCCTAAATAAAAAGGAGAAGCGAAGAAAGATACAAAAGAAAGCAATATGCAAGCCCTATGTGGCCAATCCCATCCTGGAAAGTGTGCAACTGCACACACTAGCAAACGAACCTTCTCGACTGGTATACTTCAACCATAACTTACCTTCTTCGGTTTTTCATTGAAAGTCGTCGAATTCGATGTTTTCTCGTTAAGTGAATGACGTGCTTTACTTCGGGCAAAATTACTTAGACGCCCAATCACTCCGGGACTTTTCGATCGGGCACCTTCTTTGGTGGGTCGAAATTCGAATTCTTTCGTGTCCATTCTTGCCTTGAGGCAAAGAGCCAGCGCGTCCGAGAGTCGCGCTGTACTCACACACTTTCCACTGACAAAAGCCAGGGTAGGAGATGTGTGGGAATAGTAGAGAGAGTAATTCGGGCAATCTCAAAGCATTCAGTGCGCCCACGGTCCACACGCGGTCACTTACGGCGCAGCGCGTTCAGCAGCTTGGTGCCAGATTGACTCGGTGAATTCGAGCCGATAAACCTAGTAAAAGCAGGGATCAATGGATCAATAAAGCAATACCAATCAATAGCGATCGATAAGAAGAACACACAAGGGCGATAACCTAGCGTGTTGATGATAGTACCCAGAAATGGCAACGGAAGCGAGCCACTCGCTCCATCAACCCGCGCACCCGCGCGCTCAATTTAGCAGAAGAGCGACGAAAAGACGGAAATAGTGTCTCGAATTTGCTTCTAGAAACGAGAGAAAATGACGAGAACCGGGCAGAAACAGAAAATCAGACGCGCTCCCCGTCGAAAAACGAGAGAGCGACCGGAAATGAGAAAAGAACGATTTGCGAGAGTTTCTTAAGAGAGAGCGCGATGTGTGTCTGCCTGAGACCTGATTTCGAACAACGGTGCAGGTAAAACTGAAGGTCAGCAAGCGATGAAGTTCATTTCAGCAGTAAAAGAAAGATTCAGGACGGGGGGGGGGGGGAGAGATAAAAAAGGTGGGTCTACGAGCATAGAAATGGTTTTGCCTCTCTTTGACCTTGTGCACTCCGCGAGTAGGGAAGGACAACATGTCGCCGTGGTTCATACGAGCGGACAATTGTTACAAGCCTATGATGTGAGATGTACATGGTTTGTCGCAAATATCCGCGCGTAACCCGTGCTTGGATGGAGGACTATACGTCGCCGAAAGTGGGAAGGTCCCGATTAGATAAGTAGATACTCAGCCCGTGCATGTATTGGAGTGTGTATTTGTTGCATATGTCCGGCGGGACCTCCCAATTTCGGCAACATAAAGTCCCCCTACTCTCCGCGCTTTAGAGAGTGTCCTCCACCCATTTTAAGCTACTTTAACCCTCTTGTCCGTTACCCAGGTCTTGCTTTTTTGTATCAAATGAAGCTATCTGAAAGAGCTAGGTTCTGTTGTTAGTTTACAATACCTAAAAACAAGAATTTACTTTAACAAAACTTTCTCAATTCGTTTAAAGCAGCGTAAGGCTTTGGGAGAAAAGAATTGACGGATTTTCTACCAATTCTCGAAACATAAAAAGCTGAAATGGAAGTCGCTTCAAAGAATAAAACTAAGTCTGTTGTTATAAATTCTTACTGCAGTTAAACCGATGAATTGGGAAGAGTTATGGAGGAAGTAGTTCCACAGGGAAAAGAAGAAGAATAATGGAGGAAGTTTCGCGGAAACAGGTACTTCAACTAACAAAACAGTGAAACACAAGTGGTTCATCATCTTGCTGATTCCTGAAGTGCGAATTTTTTTGGATAGAGAGTCATATTTCACACTCTGCACGTACTTGACTAAAATTTATCTAAACATATTAATTTTATTTAATGATAACAAAGAAAGTGCTTTTGCTTTCATCTTCGCGTTTTGCTAGCAGGAAATTTATATTTCCTGGCACTTTAAACAAAAGCGAGTGATTGCCATATATTGGCGAGAGCAGACAATTACGGAGAGAAGGAAGAGAGCGCAAAGGGTGCGCACTTTTGCGCGCGCGGCAGGTTTTTATGGGCGGGAAAGGCCCAAATATGCCCATCTATATATGGGCAAATTTCTCAACATAACAATTGAAATATTATGAAGAAAAAAGGAAGGAACGGAAATGAAAATGCGCAGAAATGTGAGCTTATACCATATAATCTCTATAAGCCAAAGAACTTTCCGTTTAGTCAAAAATGAATCATACAAGTAGTTTGAATCTCAAAAGCTATTGAGGTCATTGCACAAGACTACATTTCTACTACAAAATTATAACAACTATTATAATGCCGAATCCCTTTAGTAGACGCATGAAATGGCGCAAATTTAAAAAAGTTCTCCATCTTTTCTCGAGATACAAAACCAAGACCTTATCGTTGTTTGCTCAGAAATAAACCATAAGTTCGCCAAAACTTCTTCTTGTGAGTCAACAAAAGCGAACCATAGTCTATCAAAGAACGATCAAAGTTATTCTCAGAAAGGCTACGGTAATAACTTAGAAGATTTCGTAACAGCAAGTGATTACGTCAATGTAATTGTAGTTTATCAGTGCAGTCAGTTATTAAAAAAAGCATGTTGCTGAAGCAGAAGTGAAGATAAAGAACAAGAAGGAAGGAGAAGGATAGGGTGTTACTCGTTTTTTTTTGTAACCACGCAATTGTAAAAGTGAGATTTTGAAGTAGTAAAAAGAAGAAGAAAAAAAAAGAGCCTTGTTTAGGTTACAGCAAAGGTCTCAAGAGACTGGTATTAGAGGAGATGGACGAAACCAAGAACACGTCAGGTACAGAGTATATATTGAGCTTGAAACGGAAAAAACTCAAGGAGTTCTAATTTCAGAGCAGAATAATGCAATAAAAACCCCATAACATCCAGTGGCAGTCCCAAGATTTCTATCTTGGGGGGGGGGGGGGGGGGAGAGGAACGACAAAAAATTTTTGATTGAAGGCATAAACTTTGAAAAAGGAGCGTGGCACCCCAAAAATCATTTATAGTGCTGTTTTGAACTTTTCAAAGATTTTCAAAAGTTAATTCAGTTATCTACGAATGAGTCATCTACACACTTTCATAATTCAGGTAGGTGACTTCCAGTAATTTCGTGGGGGGGGGGGGTCCGTCACTGATAACACGATTTACAAAAAATTAAATACTTAGAGACAGATTATAGCGATAGAAAAATAAATTATAGCAATGGAATCTTGAAGATCAATAATTTTGCTATTTTTTACATTTCTACTATGTAGTCATTTGTTAATGAAAATCTCAAATAAATGAAGTTATCTATTTTATAACTTCTGTAATGTTCTGATAGCACTTTTTTTTCCCAGGAGAAGATAACATTGGATCAAATAAGTGAGAATTAAAATTATTAAGGATTCTAGTCCAATGTGGAAGTAAAGTAACACCCCAACAACAAAGATTGCGACAGGTGAGACCTATTCTAGGTACTTTGCTGGTGACTCATAGCAAAAGTAAAAGAAAGTATTATTAGCAGAACAATGCATTTACGACTGAGTCACCATGAGGAGGGTGGGAGGAGGGGGGGGGGGATGAAAAAATGCGGGGAAGTCTAAGCATGTGTCCTTACTATGAAACAAAGCGAGAAACACGTCGATTTTCAAAGCAAAAATATGCAAACAAATACCAGATATTTATTCTCTCGAACAAGTTGGAAAAACTGGAAAATCAAAAAAGATATTTCAAGCAACTCATATTATATATCAGCTTTTCCGATCTGCTCGGGAAAACATAAATCTAACAAATTTTTTTGCATATACCACAGATCAATAAGAGTGAAACTTACACCAAAAAAGGAGGCAAACAAAAATGTGAAACAAATTGCTAATTGTGTATTTTTCATAGTAAAATTGCTTAGATTGTCGCATTTGTAGATTATGTGTTTTTATACATCATCGACAGATAACTGAACATCAAAATTGATCGAAGATTTGAAAAAAAAATTAAAAATTAGCACTAAAAAAATTTAAAAAATTGCATACATCTTTGTAGAACGAAAAACTTGAAGAGATATAACAACTACCACAACCGATCAAAAACAAATGGAAAGCAAAACATGAGTTTCTGCCTGTTCGGAAGTGATTGACACCCCCTCCCCCCCCCTCCCCCTATTCCCCCATCCCCGCCAACTATTCGAGCCACACCCATCACATGTAAAAGATCGATTGCAAAGTCAGAGCTGTAAGAAGAATACACAGAGATGCGATTGTGTAATTGCGTCCAAAGTATTTATGTCAACAGAAGAAAATCAGACGCTATTCGGTGATTGCTTCCCCCCCCCCCCACCCCAGCCCTTACTAGCTACAGGCAGCCTGTAAATGCCCGATTGGACATTTTCATCGCCGAAAATGGTGAGATAAGAGCTGTCGACGAGCCGATGAGCATTTTGAAGAAGAGCGAGAAGAGAGCGGTTAGCTCTCATTCTCCCCGACGAATCTCCTACTTCAATAGCCGCTGAGGTTCTCTTCTTATCGATTCCGAACTTTGGCAGAAGCAGCAAGAGCAGCACAATGTGTAAAGAACGAATTTCTCTCTATCGCTTGCCGATCAGATGTGCGACGAAATGAAGCGTACAACGATCAGTTTGTCTGTGGTGCAGGAATACTTCTAGGGTTTTGATTGAGTAATTCACTCGGGCAAGTAATCATTGACCCAAAATTTGATAACAGCCCTCACTGGCTTAAAAAGGGTTTATGACGGCTGAAGTGCAGCGAATAAACTACGTTAAGTGAACTGAATGCATAAAAAAAGTGAAGATGTGCTTGAAGACTTCAAAACTTTGATTTGCATTTATTCACAAGTCAAGCTTAGGGAATTACTATGAAATCAAATGTGGTAAACATTCCGCGTGACTTCGCATTTCGGTGAAATTTGGTTATTGAAGTTTAATTACAAATTTCAAAACTAGAATTCGAAGGTAAAATTACAAGATTCCAAGATTCTAAAATTACATAGGTACAAATTTTGGTAGTTGAAGTAGAAATCAAATATAAATTAATCGAGAGGATCTATGTCCACATAATCAAATCAAGATTAGCAATTTTTCAGGATTTCGCATCCCCTTTTCAAATTTGCATACTTTTTGGCTTTTTCATGCCCTTTTTGAATTTCAGGGCCACAAGTTAGAAAAATTGAAGGTATCCTTGTGGAAAATATAAGAAGATGCTGCTGATGCCGCGCTACTTCAGTTTCAAAAATTTTTTGTTGGCTCTCTCCACCTTTTCTGCAATCAGAATGCAATTATTTATATGTTTATTCAAAAATTTAGGATGCATTGAGAAGAAAGGATCACAAAAGAGAATGAAGCCAAATTCCCGTGAAGGAGAAACATGAGGATATAATAAGCATCTCACATATCATGATTTTTGCATCTATGTTAATTTTACAATTTCTGACGCTCTCGTCGATTGAAATTCTTTCGGTATGACTGACAAACTCAGGCTGTTTTTCTTTTTTTGCCTTTTTTGACGAAAGAACAGATATACGATGTGCTAGAAAAGAATACCTACAAGTTGGTAGTAAAGTACAGCTA